TAAATTATCAATAACACTTCATTCAAATGATCAATATTTTTGTAGTTTTATAAAAAAAATATCTATAATAAAGGATAAAAAACTTTTCTTAAAAAATTTTTCCAAGATATAATAATTTATTGATTGATTAATACTAGATTGTAGCACATTAAATTTATATAATCAGTAATAACTTCACCTATTTTAAGTAGGTCCATCCACAATGACATTGATAAAAGATGAGATGAGGGACTAGGGAGTGATATCTTGACTTTCACTATTTATGACAGATTAAGGATATTTGAATGAATTTGAATCAGATCTCTATAATTATAGATTGCACCATGAAGAATACTTTTTCCCAATTTAATAAAAAACCAGAATTATTTCTCAAAATTTATTTAATAATACAATTCACAGATATAAACTATATGAAAATTATATTGTAAAGAACTGTTAAAGTAAAATTTTGTTTCTGATTAAAGCTGATCTTAAAAAATTGAATTTAATTATAATATTAATTTTTGCAGATATATTAAATAATAATACAGAAAAAACAGAGAGAAAAGCTGTAGTTTCAACATTGTATTAATAAATATACAGTATACTCCAGATTATCCAGGCAATGGAGGCATGTATAACAAACTCTAAGTGTGTTTTAATGAAAGCTAATCAATTCTTTTATTTAATTGTCAATTTTAATATTAAATTTAACATAGTTTATATATTAAGAGTAAAATACATTTTGTGAGTGAAAATTAATTAATAAGCTTTAGTAGATGTGATCAGAATTGAATAAAACTTTCAACGTAAACAGAAAATTCAGAAAAATTTATTGAGCTAGTGTTTTGTAGCTTCACTATCAGTTTCTTACATTATTAACCAAAAATAACAGATTGCCAGCTAGCTATTGTCCTAAAATGTCATTAATTTTGCAATATTAAATTAATGATTTATTGATAAGGAAATAATTCCAAATATTTTCTTCAAAAATTTTACAACTTATTTAATGAAAAAAATACAGTATACATATAAGTAAAGCTGTATTGTTCAAGAATCAACAGTACTTATTAGGCCAAATTACCTATATCTTGACATTCTGGTAGTAGTTCTGATGCTCAAAATACAATTTTAAATATTAAGAGTTAATTTTTATTATTTTATTTTAATGCTAATATTTATATTCCTGACAGATTTTTATCAAGATGTAAGCATGCAGAGATAATCTACATACAATTGAGAGTATACTGTATAATACAGAATATCAGAAAAACAAATTTATTTTGGAAATGAAATGAATTCTTTCTGCTAAAATTTTCAACTGATCGATTTAGTTTCTTGAAATTTTTTTAAAAACCTTTTTCTCCAGTTTAGTGTATTATTATAATCTATATCATTTAATTAATAATCAGAACAATTGAAAAATTTGAAGTTCATTAATTTACACACATCTTTCTTCAGATATTTTACACAATTAACCAATCCATTTGCTAAAAATTTAATCATCATCAAACAACTTGAATTTTCAATCAACTAAAAAATATAAAGAGTCATCATAATCATTATTTTTACAAATAGAAAAACAAAATCAGCAAAATTTGCATAGTTCTTTTCAGAAATTAGCTTTTATAAAGAAAAGTTTTCCATTTAAAAAANATTTTTGTTTTATCTTTAAACGATAGATGGCGTAATTTCGCGTTAATATTATAAAAATTACCCGAAATTTGATTCAAATTATATCTAACATTATCCATATTATTTTAAAGGATGAAAATATAATTTATTCTTGATTGATCGATTTGTCGTGCCCATTGTTTTATTCAAATTAGTATGGATTATGGCGCCATTATCGCAAATTTAGTTTCGGAAACAAACTTTTTTAAATCTTCTCTCTACAAACTAATAAGTCAAATAGCATCGTTTTGTATTGCGAATATATACAGAAAAATTAATTATTCTAGATTTAAAATATTAGTTTAATAGAGGTGTAGCGAGTGATGGAATGAAGCGCGTCTAGCTTCCATTATAATGGTAACAAGTGTGATTCTCACGCGGGATGGCTCCTCTCTTCTTTCTTGTTCTTGATTTTCTTCTTTCTCTGAATAAAAGGCGTTGTAGAGGAAAACAAGCACAACTTCTGTTTTTATGCAAAATTAAATTGAATTCTCTACACTTGACTCCATATCATGACACACTACTCAAATGCCAATTTTCATTTTGCCCATTATATAATTATATTTCATACACGATTAATCTTATTGTGTTTTTTATTGTTTCGTACTTTGTACGTACAGGAAAAGTTACGTTGCGCTAAAAAATCCAAATGATATTTCAAATGACACTCACGTTTCTGAGTAGGCTACACGAACTAGAGCTGTCTAGTTTCGAGATGATATCTTTATATGCGTAACAAATCACTTTGTTATGTCGAACTGTAACGTCAAGAAATCATTGAAAAAATTTATTTTCGCGGCCAAGCATCTGTTTATATTTGAAACCATGAAATACCCATAATGGAAGAGCTCTTCTTTCTTGTCTGCGATCGCATTGTATTCGTATAAGCTATAATAAAAATTACTTGGAGACCAAACCACTTTTTAACATTTCGAAAATAAACCAAAGACCTAAATTCCATTAAAAATAGTACTAAAAAATTATGTGATAAATCTCTGTGTTTTTATTTAATAACAGAAAAGCTGTCATTAGCACAATTTACGACAATAATATGTAAAATTTCGATTTGAATTTCACAACAAATTTATCTTCTAAAACAGGTTTAAGTTTACACAAATGTAAATAAGTTGATACTTTATTCTACTGATTATAAATTCATTATAAGTTATTCGAGATTAAGTAATTAATTAATTTAAAAATGTGCATTACATTTAACACAATTCATCACAGAACCTATTACATTACAAATGTATTATATCAGAATACATTATCTTTGTTTCGCTTACACTGCTTACAAAACATGAAAGTGATTCGGCTAGGCAACGATGAGGCAGCGGGCTTGGATACATCTGAGACGGATTATCTCCCGAAAAATTTCTCGGGTTTTTGGACTTTTCGGATTCTCCAGAGTGGTAGGCTGACGCCTTAACCTTCTCGGCAATTTTTAATTAATTTTTCTTATCTCCAATAGGGTCGGACTTAATGATGATTTTACTGATTTTACTGGCATTTACAATTTTTTTATAAAATCCGTCCCTACCCTCAAAATTAAGCTTCTTGCTATTTTATAACAATTAAAAATATAAAAAAAATTTTTTAAATAAAATATAATTCAATTCTATAATAAATATTCAGCAATTGTCTTTTGAATTGATTAATAATGCAGAATATTGAAACTGTTCCTCAAAGATTAGCAATTAGATACGACAGCCAACATTTGCCTTATCTTTATAACCTTAGATATAGTAAATTTCATTAAAATTTTTACTTCATTTATTTCATATGTGATTTACATTCTATCATTTTGATCATGTGAAATTGAAACAATCTATATTCATTTACACAGTAAAAAAATGACTGCACTATCTATATATTTTTTAGTTAAAGTATACTTTGAAAAAAATTATAGTAATTATCAAAAAGGATGAACCAGCCATTACAGTTATTCTGTTGAATTAATCAATGCATATTTAACTGTGAGTAAAGTTGAGGGAATGTTAATGTTTTTAACTCAGTTAACAGGACATCATCTGGCATGAATGGTTGATAGTGAAGATTCCACTATCATCTATCCATTACTGAAGAGGATCCATTAACCAAGTCAAAAATGTTAGTGCTCTTTCAACTCAGAACTGTTGAGAAGGGAAGCTGGGGATTTTTTTCCCAGGCCCAAAGAAAACCCAGGGGCCCATAGTGATTCTTACTCCTATAAAATTAATGTTATTTCTATTAACAGAAAATAACTTAAAAATTTCTTTTTATAATTAAAAAAAAAACACTATGTATTTCACTTGTTTAAAAAAAAAAAAAAAAAAGCCTAGTTACAGGTGCCCTTGAAGAGGCTTAAAAGGTCTGTTTTACCCAGGCCTCATACAAGCTCTCAACAGCCCGCTTCAACTTCATCCACTATTAAAAGATGCATCGATTACTTCCGTAATTATTAAACAAACGGTAGACCAATACTCAATCTAAATGTAATTATTTTTCATAATTTAAATATTCACAATTCATGTTATAAAAGTTATGTTTATTAATGTTGCAGTCAAAACCCGTTTTTAGTTAGAATGCGTTTTAACAAGTTGAAACTAGTTTATACTGGATGTCTTTGTTAAAACATAACATATTTCAATCATATACGATAAAGAAAAAAAAGTAGCACCATCACCAATACCAGTAAAATACAGTTTTGTAAGTACTGTATTAATTTTCTAAAACTTAACACACAATTTATTTCACAATTAAAAACTGCAAACTTTTGAAACAAATAAAGAATATTCTTATATATTAATAATAATATCAGTCATATCATATTTTTATCTAGATAAATTAACTATTTTGGAACAATTTGGCAAACTATAAATATCTTCCATAAAAACATTTAAAAATTAGCTTACAAAGTTCATTGGCCAAAACTCAATTTAGAAAATTCAACAGCGTCATAATTTCTAAATTTCTGCAGAAACAACAGAAATGTACCATTATTTTATTACTTTCGCGTAAGCTGTAAAAATATTTCAATTATTAATATAAATTTTGAGATAAATTTTCATTTTTGAAGGCCACATTCCATAATATTAAAAGATAATTCACTTTTCACCAAATATTTGATAAACAACCATTTTCTCCTTATACTGAAGGATTCATTGAATTTTGGCATAGAATTACGGCAAGAAATGTTAAATTTACTTATTACTCTTCGCAATAGCCAGCGAGAAGTCGCATTACTTCAAATTTAGCAATTTTACCGAAATATGTCAAGCAGAAACGTCACCAAAACATAAAACATCATTCATTAAACGTAACGACGTCACACAGAACCTGTGTATACGTAACAATCAAATATTTACCTTTACTTCCAAACGTATGGAGTCGAACAATCAATAATTTAATAAATTGAAGAATATTCAATAGAAATAACCTTGTTTTGTGAAAGGGGAATTGCGTATTAATTAATAAGTAAGTGCGTATTCCTAACTTCAAGTAACATGACTTTTACAAATAACGAAAACTCACCTAAAATATAGTAGATCGAACCCGATCTTCTGCCATCTTGTATACAGCGACCTCTAACCTAAATCGAATAAAATGTCATTAATCAATTATTATTATAATTTTTTTCCTGAATTGTATTAAAAGAAAAATAATTAAAATTGTTTGTAGTTTATTAAAAATGTGATTTTATCTTTTCTAATATAAAATATAGTAAAAAGTGAGAGAGAAATATGAAGAAAAAGTAGTGAAATCTAATCGAATTGTTTATTTCATATATTAACAATATCCAAATATTTAATACAAAATAACATAAATTGTAATTAAAATAAACCATAATATCTAATAAACATTTAAATTATCCTCTATGTTAATTTTTTCCCACTTTAAAAATTTTTGTTATATCTTTAAACGATAGATGGCGTAATTTCGCGTTAATATTATAAAAATTACCCGAAATTTGATTCAAATTATATCTAACATNAATGTTACCGGGAAAGTTAAGCAACTCCTTAATGAATTTTTTTTAATTTTCATTGTACTGGATATTTGGAAATGAACTTGAAGGTTTTAGTTTTGCATGTTTACTCCTGCATTAATTTGTTTACATTATTCAAATGTTTTTGCTTTTTAATTCAGAATTCACTATATGGAAAAATGTATAGTGTTAGGCTACGCAATCAATTTTAATATTGTATGTTGCGCATGGCTTGATTCCCCAATAAAAGCCGTCTAATGCCTATGAAAATAAGAAGAGTTCGATTTTTCGTCCTTAGAATTTCGATATAGTTATTCAGAAAGAATAAATAAAACGCAATGCTTTGAAAAACTACGGCATTGATGTTAAAGTATAACACATTCCAATAGTAAAGTGATACAGGCAACCAACTGTGGAATATACTGGTATATATTACACAGTTGACTAGATCTAGACAATATGATGATGATTCATTTTGAGAAAATGTTGCCAACTAAACAACTGTCAATGGGCTGAGTAAAGCTATATTCGTAATATTACCATTCTAATATTTAACAATTTGTTACATATCAGAAATTAAAATTCCCTTCTCGCAATTTCTCGAAATAAAAGTTATAAATTTTGCAATAAATATTATATAAAGATGATCTTTTCATTAAACTTTATATACGAATTTAAGTTATAACTGTTACTACAAGTTGAAATATGATGCACGAAAACAATAGTAATGTCACAGCGGGACATCCGGTCGTGACTTTCGTTAGAAGTTCGTAATAGGTAAAAAAATATACTGCACATAATAGATTTACGATCCATTGTCTGTTTATTGTGTATACTTTATTGTCGTCACGCGAGATTCCCAACTCTTTTCTTTTTCTCTATATTAAAGCTTACGGGAATATTTTCATTTCTAGTCTCGTATTTCTATGAATGAAATATAAACATTATCCTGCATAAATGTAAAACAATACAAACATTTATTTGTACAGCAAATAGAGCTTGACCATTTAAATCTTGATTAATTTCACAATATTACTCAAGATTTAATGGTTTGTCGAGTTCACACCTGTGAACTCAGATAAACTGATAATTTTATATCTCATCAGCATCAAAACAAAAAAGCGACCTGTTGTATTTTTTGACACTGTTAATCCAGACGTTGTTAATACTTTGATAGAATATAAATATAAAAAAACAATTCCATTCCGTGAATAGAATATAAATGTTTTAACGTTAATATTCTGTCCACGAATTATCAGTGAGCGGCGCAGGACCTTTGGATTATTGAATTACTTAATTTCGAATTTTATGCTAGAGAATGAAGCAACAAGTCTTTCAAAAAAAAATGGTAATTACAGCTAGAATAAGTAACAGGAAAAAAAATAGAGTAATGGCCTTTCAAAAATGTTTTGTGCACTGGATACTTGCCAGTTGAGGTTGATATTAATTAAAAACAATATCAACTTTGTCAGAAGTGTATTAAAAAAACTAGTTTTACGTGAGTTGAATATAAATTATATATTTTTATAAGGTCAGATCGATATTTTTTGTAAATTTTTCAATTCTTCAGGAAGCTTATCACCATCTTTATTTTTCTTATATTTCGTAAATTAATTCAAATGTCCAACAGGTTGCGTGGACAATTGCCAAAATTCGAACTAAAACAGAATAAATTTATTTAATATTTCATGAACAAACATATCAATATAAAGAATATTTTACCAAAATATTATCCTTTTTGTATTAAAGAAATTGAATTTATTTATAAATGTAGTAAAGGAAATTTAAGTTAATCATTTTTTTCATACTAGTTAAAAAGTATAGCATAGCAAAATTTGACGACAAAAATGGAGAATTTATTAAGAAAATACAAAATTATACCGTTTCTCGACCAGGCTGACTCAAATTTTACTTGATGCTACTAAATAAAACGAGTTAATATTTAATAGACTGCAGCCACTGAAAGTCTCATCTAGACCTAAAACGGTTCTAGCTCCAAAGATTTCTAAAATTGACTTAGCAAAATTCAAAAATTCCTTTCGTGTCTAGATGAAGTTTCACAAGACACCAGACATCTTGGTCTTCATGTAGACCCAAAAGGTCTAAAAGACACTAATTGGATTAACAAACCTGGACCAAGGGTTTCAATGCTATTCATTATCAATTTTATAAGACTATATTAATTGAGTTTAATCAAAGTTAACAGAGTTATATTATTTGAACTATGTTGATTTTACGTCACATAATAGGAAACGTCAGAATGCCAGAATAGGAAAAGCAATAAGACTGTAATAATAATACAGCAAAAACTGAACAAATGAAATAAATCACGTTTAATCTATCATAAAATGATACCAAAACAGAATAAAAATAAATCTTAGAGTTCAGTAATTCTAGAACAAAAAAAAAAATGTTAAGCAACAGTCATTTTCTTTCATTAAGATAAGACAAAGTAATTTATAATGCTGACCCAATTTCATAATCTTTGCAATTTGTTAACATTTCTCTTATACTAATAAAGTTATTTGTGTAATACATAAATTCATATACTTGTTTACTGTATATTATTAGTATATTAAATTATACGAATATCATAATTTTATAGCTACAGGGATAAAAAAAACATACTGAACAAAAGTATTTCCAGAGAGTGCTTAAAAATAATTTATAATTTTTAAACATGTTATATACAGTAGACCCCTATAACGCGGGTTCCTATAACGCAGNAGAATGCCAGAATAGGAAAAGCAATAAGACTGTAATAATAATACAGCAAAAACTGAACAAATGAAATAAATCACGTTTAATCTATCATAAAATGATACCAAAACAGAATAAAAATAAATCTTAGAGTTCAGTAATTCTAGAACAAAAAAAAAATGTTAAGCAACAGTCATTTTCTTTCATTAAGATAAGACAAAGTAATTTATAATGCTGACCCAATTTCATAATCTTTGCAATTTGTTAACATTTCTCTTATACTAATAAAGTTATTTGTGTAATACATAAATTCATATACTTGTTTACTGTATATTATTAGTATATTAAATTATACGAATATCATAATTTTATAGCTACAGGGATAAAAAAAACATACTGAACAAAAGTATTTCCAGAGAGTGCTTAAAAATAATTTATAATTTTTAAACATGTTATATACAGTAGACCCCTATAACGCGGGTTCCTATAACGCAGATTCCTATAACACGGCGAAAAAATTGCGACAGTATTCGTATAACGACGCTAAAAGGGACGCGTAAAACTCGGTAAAATGTCATCGCCGACTCTTGTCGCGACAGGATTGGTCGAATCTTGACCAATAGTAGACGAGCAGCCGAACTACTTACACGCTACAGAGAGTTTAGACGGGTAAGTTGAGTTTACTATCGTCTGTACAGTATGTAAATTAGGTACCGTAAGTCTAATACAGCGCTGTAATTTTATACATTTCTTGTAAAAAAAACATTTCTTATTCAACGGCCATAAAAATTATTTCTGTTAATGATGTCTCCAAAGTTCAACGAATTTTTCGCAGAAAAATAACTTATCAGAAATCGCGGCCGCCGTTTGGTGCGCTGCTCCGCGACGAAAACAAGCTTAAGCAATGGCGTCGTCGAACGGTGCACACTCGGTAAGTAATCCTACAATTTTTTGTTTATAGCATAGTTTATACGGATTATTCCCAAAAATTATACGTGTTTTGGAAATGGTGTTTTGTGTTGAGTGAAATTAGTCTAGAATCGATTAATTTTATGGAAGAAAACCTTTCAAACAGCCGTAGTCCGTAAACTGCACATATGCCGGGCTGTGATTGGCTCGTGTATTTAAGGATTCCTGCAACGCGAAATTCTTATAAAGTGGAACGTATCTACCGCGTTATAGGGGGTCTACTGTATTTATTAGGTAATAAAAGAATTATATTCATCTTAAGGTATATAATATATATATAAAGTTATAATACTGTATTAGCAGGTTTGCTAAATGTGTTAACGATATCATTTATTACTGATTCATTAATCATTTAATTTTCAGTTTGTGCTTAGGGACAAATCTCGACCACGTGCTTTCGATTAACAAATTCCTTGTTTAGAATAACGCGTGCTTTTGTTTACGTTTTGGATTTGATACGTAGCCAACAATTAGAAGTAACAAAACATTTTGCGTTTTCTTATTTTTGTTTCTGTATTTGCCGTCCCAACCCGGAGCTAAAAAGAAATTTAGTAATATCCGAACATGTAGAACCTTCCAGTGTCAAGGAAAATAAATGTCATTTGCCTTATTGAGGCCCTCGAAGTATTCGTAAAAAATAAAGGTTTTTTTTAAAAGTACAGTACATAGGCCTAATAAATAGAACGGAATTTGTAACAAACAGTACGAGACAGGGTCTATAATCGTATCATATTCTATATAATTATAAGGGAAGTCAACACCCGACATCTAAAAGGAATATAATTGTAGAAAGCAGAAATAAAAAAGGATGAGATACCTGAGAGATCCGATCAATCCTATCTACAAAATAAGTTTATCCTGAAGCGG